CCCTCCCTCCCGCCCACCGCAATCAGCTGTTCCACGGCCTGAAGGAGCTGCTGGGAGGGAGGGGGCAGAACTGGACAGGAAGAGGCATGACAGGGGGGAGCAGGGGTGGGAAAAGGCAGAGCAGGGGTGGGGGTTTGGGGGAAGGGGTCGGATGGGGCCTGGGGCAGAGCAGGGAAGAATTGAGCACCCCCAGGCCCTGGAGGAAGCAGGCCTGGATTAACCAATGTGCATTCAGTGTACTTGCCCAGGGCCCTTTTGTTCTCAAAAATGTATCTTCTTAAATTTTACTCTCCCTTTTTATCCTCCCTGCAGGTGCAAATGTTTCTATGTTCCCCGTATCATCTCCTTCCCTGAGGTTATTGCAGATTCGAAGGCAAAAACACGCACTCGCGATGACATGTTTTCTGAGATCATGCAGTCCTCCCGAACTGATAGGGCACAGCTGAATGCATGGAGGCATTCGGTGGCAGAGGCCAGGAAAGCATTCAGTGAGTGTGATTGGAACACGTAGGAGGAGATGCTGAAGCTAATGGGGGAGCAAATGGACATGATCAGGTGTCTGGTGGAGCTGCAGGGAAGGCAACAAGAGCACAGACCGCCGCTGCAGCCATTGTATAACCACCAGCCCTCCTCCCCAAGTTCCATATCCTCCTCACCCAGACGCCCAAGAACGTGGGGGGCAGGCTCCGGGCACCCAGCCATTTCACTCCAGAGGATGGCCCAAGCAACAGAAGGCTGTCATTCAAACAGCTTTGATTTGTAGTGTGGCTACAATAAGCAATGTTACCTTTTCCTTCCCTCCTCCCCCAGCCCACCCGGGCTACCCTGTCTGTGATGTCACTTTTTTCTTAATAAATAAAGAATGCATGGATTCAAAACAACAGGGACTTTATTTCCTTTGCCAGCTGTGGTCAAAGGGGCGAGGGGGATTGGCTTACAGGGAAGTAAATTCAACAAAGGGGGTGGGTTTGTATCAAGGAGAAACACACAACTGTCACACCATAGCCTGGCCAGTCATGAAACTGGTTTTCAAAGCCTCTCTGATGCGCAGCGCACCTAGCTGTGCTCTTCTAATCGCCCTGGTGTCTGGCTGTTCAAAACTGGCCGCCAGGCGATTTGCCTCAACCTCCCACCCCGCCATAAACATCTCCCCCTTACTCTCACAGATATTACAGAGCACACAGCAAGCAGCAATAAATGGGAATATTGGTTGCACTGAGGTCTAAGCTAGTCAGCAAACAGCGCCAGCAAGCTTTTAAATGTCCAAAAACACATTCTACCACCATTCTGCACTTGCTCAGCCTATAGTTGAAATGCTCCTTACTACTGTCCAGGCTGCCTGTGTATGTCTTCATGAGTCAAGAGAGCAAGGAGTAGGCTGGGTCCCCAAGAATAACTATTGGCATTTCAACATCCCCAACGATAATTTTCTGGTCTGGGAAGTAAGTCCCTTCTTGCAGCTGTTCGAACAGCCCAGAGTTCCTAAAGATGTGAGCGTCATGCACCTTTCCCGGCCATTCCACGCTGATGTCAGTGAAATGTCCCTTGTGATCCATCAGTGCTTGCAGCACCATTGAGAAGTACCTCTTGCGGTTTATGTATTGGTTGGCAAGGTGCTCCGGTGCCAAGATAGGGATATGCATTCCGTCTATCGCCCCACCACAGTTAGGGAATCCCATTGCAGCAAAGCCATCCACTATGACCTGCACATTTCCTAGAGTCACTACCCTTGCTAGCAGAAGGTCACTGATTGCCTTGGCTACTTGGATCACAGCCGCCCCCACGGTAGATTTGCTCATTCCAAATTGATTCCCGACTGACCGATAGCAGTCAGGCGTTGCAAGCTTCCACAGGGCTATTGCCACTCGCTTCTCAACTGTCAGGGCAGGTCTCAGCTTGGTATTCCTGCGCTTCAGGGCGGAGGAAAGCAACTCACACAGTTCCATGAAAGTGGCCTTTCGCAGCCACTGGGAATCATCCCATACCTGCAACACTATGCGGTCCCACCAGTCTGTGCTTGTTTGCCGGGCCCAGAATCAGCATTCCACTGTATCAACCTGCCCCACTGCCGCCATGATATCCCAATTGCCACATCCCATGCTTTCAGGAACATCTGTGTCCATGTCCTCTTCACAATCGTCCTCATGCTGGGGTCTCCTAGCCAGGTTCTGCACATACTGCAGGTTAATGTGCGAGGTGTTTACAATGCTCACAACAGCAGCGGTGAGCTGAGCAGGCTCCATGCTTGCCGTGCTATGGCGTCTGCATGGATAACCAAGGAAAAAAGGCGCGAAACGATTGTTTGCCATTGCTTTCAAGGAAGGAGAGAGGGGAGACTGACGACATGTACCCAAAACCACCGGTGACAATGTTTTTGCCCCATCAGGCATTGGGAGCTTAACCCAGAATTCCAATGGGCAGTGGGGACTGTGGGATAGCTACCCACAGTGCACCACTCCATGAGTCGATGCTAGCCACGGTATTGAGGACATACTCTGCCAACCTAATGCGCTTAGTGGGGACATACACGATCAACTGTACAAAATCGCTTTCTAAAGATCGACTTCTATAAAATCGACCTAATTTCATAGTGTAGACATACCCTGAGCAACTGCTACTACACGAGCTGTTCTTGGAGTAGCTTCACACAGCACAACGCCATTTCTGGGCTTGGAAACCAGTATTAATTGGTTGGAAAGGACGGTTCTGCAGACCTGGGAGGATATGCAGTGGTGACAGGACTTCTGGATGGCAAAGACAGCTCTTTTTGAGATCTGTGCTGAGCTCAGCTCAAAGCTGCAGTGGCAGCATACTAACATTAGGGTGACCAGATGACAAACATGAAATATCGGGACGTGGGCGGGGGGGGCGCGGCAGAGGGGAAAAAAAAAGCCGGCAGCGGGGAAAAAAAAAAAAAAGCCGCTGGAGCACCTGCCCCCCCCGCCAGGCGGCACAGCCCCATCTCCACCCACTCTATGGTGGCCTCGGAGCTGCCAAGCCCACGTGCTGCACTAGATCCCCAGGGCAGCCTGGCTCGCTTCCTGGCCGCCCTCCCTGTCCGGGCCAGGCCACTCCGTGAGCCATGGGCGCGGCGCAGGAGGCCCAGGCCTGCCTCGCCTTCTACCGGGGGCTCGGGCGGAGGGAGCCGCTGCGGGATCTCTGCCGGGGCGTGCTCACCTTCCTGGAGAAGCTATACTGGAGCAGTTCGCAGGGTGAGTGCTGAGGGCCACCCCCTCCCTCCAGCCTTGCGCCGCCATACAGCTGATCAGCCAAGCCTGGAAGGGAGGAGGAATGCGGCGTGCTTGGGGAAGAGGTGGGGCCAGGGTGGGGATTTGAGGAGGATCCAATGGGGCAGTGAGGGGGCGGGGCTGGGCCAGGGCGGGGATTTGGGGAGGGATCCAATGGGGGGAGGAGGGGATGGGGCCGGGGGCGAGAGCCCCTCCAGGCTCCGCCTGTGCGCTGGAGCGGAGGGCAAAATTGCTTGTTTGTCCAGTGTCCCGCGGGACAAACAAGCAAATATCGGGACAGTCCCGATAAAATCGGGACGTCTGGTCACCCTAACTAACATGCTGTTTACCATCGTTGACAAACAGGTCACCATCTAGCAATGGTCCACCCCCAAGTGTTACTGGTCTGTAGACAACCAATTCAGTGTTGGAAGATCAACTGTGGGGATACTGTCATGCAAGTGTGTACTGCTATCAGAAGGTATGGGTGCACGGGGTTATAAAGCTTGGCAATGCTAATGCTTAGGACTCTATTGATGGCTTTGCATACATGGGGTTCTCAAAATTGTATTGGGGCAACTGATGGGACCCACATACCTATCATTTGCCTTCAACATGAGGCGTCAGAGCTGAATTGAAAGGTGTTCCCTATGATGATCCAAGGCCTGGCTGACGACCGTGGCAGCTTCACAAACATACATGCAGGGTAGTCTGGAAAAGTCAACAATACTGGGATCTTTTGGAACTCGTGCCTGTTTATCTTAATGAGCGGAGCGTTTGCCTCCAGGATCACTATGGACATTAACAGCATGCAGATTTCTTTGGGTACTGTGGGAGACCCAGTTTATCCTCTGCTACACTGAACCGTGAAGTAATTTATGGTGCACTTCGACAGAAGGAATAAACTGCTTAACTATCGTCTCAGCAGTCGCAGAATGGCAGCGGAGTGTGCATTCGGCCATTTGAAATCAAGATGGCATTATCTTTTCATTAAGTTAGAAGCTGCACAATGATATTTACCTAGGATTATAGCTGCATGTTGTATTTTGCACAATATCTGTGAGTAAGGGAGAAAGTCTTAATTTATGGGAGCCTGTGGTGCCGAGATTTGCTCAGCAGTACGAGCAGCCCCAAGGCATACAAGGCATTGTCAGGGACTGCTTTTGTTCTTACTTTGAGTCTGGTGCCTGAAGGAGTGCAGCTATACATCCAGCTGTGGGTTTTTGGGGAGGAAGGGGGGAGAATTTTGAGCATTAAAGTTGATTTTATGGACGCTGGAAGTGACACATTTGGTTACTCTATTTTATACCATCTGTGCTTTTATAAAAACTTATGACACTGCTGTTCAATTGAAAATTTGTGGGTTGTGTGTACCATCCATTGCAGGTGCTTTGGGACTTAATGTTTTTTATTGGACAAATTATTGCAATAAATAAAAACCAAAAATAAAACTTAGAAAATGTTACAAGCGTTGATCTTAGTGATTGAAACAACATCAAACACAGCTTTAAAGTGAAAAAATGACTTTCAGACACAGTGGGCTGAAGAGGGCAACACACAATAAGTCAGGGGAGGGGGCTTCTGTTCACACGCAGGTGAACATCTTGCCTTTGCTTCTTCTAGATCCTCTGCCTTCTAGGGTAGTGTATTGGGGTCACAGTTGTCACGTGCATTGGGTAGTGCAGATGTGCTGGGCTCCCATGTGGCGTTCTTACTACCCTGTGCTGAGGCTGGGGAAGTGAATGGCTTCTGGGAGCAAGGCTGGTGTTCCCAGTACCCTAGATAATCGAGAGGCTGCAGAACATGACCGGTTCTGGTTGAAGATGCTGGATTGTCTGCTGGCCTAATTTCACTATGCAATCCAACAGAACGTTCTGCCTGATCATTGCCTCCAGGAGTCCCTATCTTTCTCCGCAGCGTCTTTCGTCATGGCAACACTGCCTCGGGCCAGTTCAATGCTGTCGCAGGATAGCTGCCTGTCTTTCTCTTTCAGACATCAAAAACACTTTCCAGTTGTCAGTAGTTTTCGAGGGTTTTTTGGAAAGTCTGTAAGGAAGGCTTCAGACATCTCATCCTTAAACCTGTTTCTTCCCTTTCATATCGGTCAACTGCTCAGCTCTTGATAAAGGAAAGTACAGAAAACAACAAGTAGTTATTGTCCATATTAGTGCTTTTTCCATAGAAGCAATTACAGCATTTTTTTGTTTTGTTTTAGCCTCTATTTCTGAATTCCATCCCTTGAGATTCATCCCAGTCTTGGGAGGCCTCAGAGGTGATAAGTGATGTGCAATACATAAAGGCTAGATTAGGATGTTGGGATTTCTGTTCCCGGTTTGGGGTTTGAAGTTTATGCTGTGCCTTGGAGGAAATAATATGGTGTGGAAGTGAACTGGATAGTGATCCCCTCTGCATCCCCTGTAAGCAGTCCCGACTCTTGATGATGTTATACTGAGACAAGGGATTAGGAGGCAGAGAAGGCACTTATTCAAAAAAGCAAAGGGAAGACCAATGAGTTACGCTGCTGTGATGTTATTCCCCAAGATGGTTCCCTCAGAAGTGCTGCAGAAGCGGAAGGGAGTCGCAAACTATGTCAAGGGCAATGATCATGTTACTGTTCCACTGAATGTCTATACCAAAAATAAAGCAGAATCTAAGACTGAGAAATTGCTAGATCTCCCTGCTGACATGAAGAAAGTGCAGAGAAAAACAGATAGGGTTCTGGACTGATTGTCTGAAACCTTAACAGTTCCCAGTCTTTTTCTATGAAATATGTAACCCTGTGAAAAGTCATTATGCCACCTTTGTCTACTTGACTGCTGTAATGCTTAAATGGTATTTGGTGTACTTTGGCTAATTGCCTTACGATCCGTACAGTTATGCTATCCCTAACCTAATCTTCTTTCCTATATGAATTCCTATTTGCAATGCTGTTACAGGGCATATATACCTCAACTGGGAGCATTAGCCTTACTACCTTTATGGGCATACAATACCTCATGAATATACCTAATGCAATACCTATGCCTACATATACTTCATATAAACTGGTCCACCATATCATTCAACAGGTGTTCTAACAGGATGCAATATTCCAGTATAGATAAGATCCTACATGTACAGGACACTCTTTAAAGGGACCATTTACAGCTGTGCAGTTAGCAATACCCATAATGACTCAACTAAGAACTCTCTTATTTAATAAGCATTTAATTATCCAGGGTGTAATTAGCAAGCCACTAGTTTTCTTTTAATATTATTAAAGCATCTCTTGACAATACATATACACGATGGGACAGATCCTGCACTCCTTATGCAGGCAGGATTCTCATTAGACTTCTGGCTGAGTAAGAAGTACAGGATCTGCCCAAACATGGCGAAGAAAGCCAGGACAAACTAATGCCAGAATTTTACTGCTTTTGTCTCTGGCAATTTAAGGTAGACCTTTATAGTTTAACTATAATAAACATTTTAAATAAAAAGTGATATAAATGTTATTCCTTGATACTTTAGCAGCATTAGCATTGGCATTATACTGAATCACCTCAAGCAACATAGACTCTTCATAGATTGCTACCACTCCCATATGTAAAATCATCATCCTTCCCCAACAAGTATTTACTTGATGTCACCAGAATGGTTTAATTGAATCATAGATTCAAACTGCTCTGTTTATTCTCTGCATTGATGCTCTCTTTTTCTTCATTTGAATGAAGAAAGTCTGTAGTGCATGAAAAAAAAAAGTTCAAGGGTCTACTTCTGCATCATCTCTTTCAGCACAGTTCCTTTTACAGTTGACAGAGCTATACTGAACTACCCATCTTCACTTGCCAGCGAATAGTTCCCTCTAGTGTAATAAAGCAATAAGTAGCATGATCAAGAAATACACCGTGGAACAGGGGGTCAAAATATTTCTTTTCAATTTATCTGTGTTTTTGTGGCATCAGTAACAGGTTTAGTCATTTTCCATGACAAGAGGAAGAATTTTGACTGTTGAAATTAGTTGAATGACTGTTGAATCTCTCAGACAAATAAAATACACAGTGGAAAAACAATAGCAATTGCTCAGTAGTCGGGAACAGATAAGCACAGATGAACTAGAAGCTATTTTAATTTTATACTTTCCTACATCCTGAAAAGACGCCAAAGAGAGAACTTTTCCAACCTTGGGGTAAATCCCGCTTCCACACCGCTGATTTCTTCTCCACAATGTGGCTCACTAGTGTATATTCTACATGTATATCTTACAGAAAACTTCTATCAGTTTAAATTCAGCAAGATGGAATGTTACCATTAGCTGTCATAGTAATAATTTATCTTAAAAAAAAAATCTAACATTTTGATTTGCTGGAGATAGCTTCAAAGCATGGAGTCTTGAGAAAGCATTGCATGGGACAGTAAAGAGGTGCTGTGATACAATAGAAAAATCAAACACGTTATGCTGAAAAACTATATAAGCTTCAAGTGTTTTCCATTATTCGGTTTCCATTTGTGCTTGCGCATAACAATATCTATTTTAAACAAGGGATTTCTCCCTCATGATCAAACTTCTCCTACTCTGTCCTGCAGCACATGCCAAACCTGAAAGCTAGTTCCAGGGCAAGTGACTGAAGTCAAAATAAAATGATAATTTGGTATGTGTTTTTTATATTTTCAAAGTACTGTGCAAAATTAATCCACAAAATAATCCTGTGAGGTAGGCAGGCATATATCAATCTGTTAAGGAACCTCACAGTCAAAACTAGGATTGGAACTCAGGAGTTCCTGACTCCCAGTCTTGAGTTTAGACCTAAAAGTCTTTTTCAAATTAGAGAGAGTTAGGGGAAGAGAAGAATGATGTTACAGTGGCTAAGTCTTTCTATGTTGTGAACAAAATAAATCACAAAAGTTACAACACTGAAAAGTCTCAGTACTTCAGTACTCCAACTTGCAGTATTTTGTGCTGGTTGCCCATCCTGTCTCTCAAACAACAACAGATTCATAGATTCATAGATTCTAGGACTGGAAGGGACCTCGAGAGGTCATCGAGTCCAGTCCCCTGCCCGCATGGCAGGACCAAATACTGTCTAGACCATCCCTGATAGACATTTATCTAACCTACTCTTAAATATCTCTAGAGATGGAGATTCCACAACCTCCCTAGGCAATTTATTCCAGTGTTTAACCACCCTGACAGTTAGGAACTTTTTCCTAATGTCCAACCTAGACCTCCCTTGCTGCAGTTTAAGCCCATTGCTTCTTGTTCTATCCTCAGAGGCTAAGGTGAACAAGTTTTCTCCCTCCTCCTTATGACACCCTTTTAGATACCTGAAAACTGCTATCATGTCCTCTCTCAGTCTTCTCTTTTCCAAACTAAACAAACCCAATTCTTTCAGCCTTCCTTCATAGGTCATGTTCTCAAGACCTTTAATCATTCTTGTTGCTCTTCTCTGGACCCTTTCCAATTTCTCCACATCTTTCTTGAAATGCGGTGCCCAGAACTGGACACAATACTCCAGCTGAGGCCTAACCAGAGCAGAGTAGAGCGGAAGAATGACTTCTCGTGTCTTGCTCACAACACACCTGTTAATACATCCCAGAATCACGTTTGCTTTTTTTGCAACAGCATCACACTGTTGACTCATATTTAGCTTGTGGTCCACTATAACCCCTAGATCCCTTTCTGCCGTACTCCTTCCTAGACAGTCTCTTCCCATTCTGTATGTGTGAAACTGATTTTTTCTTCCTAAGTGGAGCACTTTGCATTTGTCTTTGTTAAACTTCATCCTGTTTACCTCAGACCATTTCTCCAATTTGTCCAGATCATTTTGAATTATGACCCTGTCCTCCAAAGCAGTTGCAATCCCTCCCAGTTTGGTATCATCCGCAAACTTAATAATCGTACTTTCTATACCAATATCTAAGTCGTTAATGAAGATATTGAACAGAGCCGGTCCCAAAACAGACCCCTGCGGAACCCCACTCGTTATGCCTTTCCAGCAGGATTGGGAACCATTAATAACAACTCTCTGAGTACGGTTATCCAGCCAGTTATGCACCCACCTTATAGTAGCCCCATCTAAATTGTATTTGCCTAGTTTGTCGATAAGAATATCATGCGAGACCGTATCAAATGCCTTACTAAAGTCTAGGTATACCACATCCACAGCTTCTCCCTTATCCACAAGACTCGTTATCCTATCGAAGAAAGCTATCAGATTGGTTTGACATGATTTGTTCTTTACAAATCCATGCTGGCTGTTCCCTATCACCTTACCACCTTCCAGTGTTTGCAGATGATTTCCTTAATTACTTGCTCCATTATCTTCCCTGGCACAGAAGTTAAACTAACTGGTCTGTAGTTTCCTGGGTTGTTTTTATTTCCCTTTTTATAGATGGGCACTATATTTGCCCTTTTCCAGTCTTCTGGAATCTCTCCCGTCTCCCATGATTTTCCAAAGATAATAGCTAGAGGCTCAGATACCTCCTCTATTAGCTCCTTGAGTATTCTAGGATGCATTTCATCAGGCCCTGGTGACTTGCAGGCATCTAACTTTTCTAAGTGATTTTTAACTTGTTCTTTTTTTATTTTATCTGCTAAACCTACCCCCTTCCCATTAGCATTCACTAGGTTAGGCATTCCTTCAGACTTCTCGGTGAAGACCGAAACAAAGAAGTCATTAAGCATCTCTGCCATTTCCAAGTTTCCTGTTACTGTTTCTCCCTCTTCACTAAGCAGTGGGCCTACCCTGTCTTTGGTCTTCCTCTTGCTTCTAATGTATTGATAAAAAGTCTTCTTGTTCCCCTTTATTCCCTTAGCTAGTTTGAGCTCATTTTGTGCCTTTGCCTTTCTAATCTTGCCCCTGCATTCCTGTGTTGTTTGCTTATATTCATCCTTTGTAATCTGTCCTAGTTTCCATTTTTTATATGACTCCTTTTTATTTTTTAGATCATGCAAGATCTCGTGGTTAAGCCAAGGTGGTCTTTTGCCACATTTTCTATCTTTCCTAACCAACGGAATAGCTTGCTTTTGGGCCCTTAATAGTGTCCCCTTGAAAAACTGCCAACTCTCCTCAGTTGTTTTTCCCCTCAGTCTTGATTCCCATGGGACCTTACCTATCAGCTCTCTGAGCTTACCAAAATCCGCCTTCCTGAAATCCATTATCTCTATTTTGCTGTTCTCCCTTCTACCCTTCCTTAGAATTGCAAACTCTATGATTTCATGATCACTTTCACCCAAGCTGCCTTCTACTTTCAAATTCTCAACGAGTTCCTCCCTATTTGTTAAAATCAAGTCTAGAACAGCTTCACCCCTAGTAGCTTTTTCAACCTTCTGAAATAAAAAGTTGTCTGCAATGCAGTCCAAGAATTTGTTGGATAGTCTGTGCCCCGCTGTGTTATTTTCCCAACATATATCCGGATAGTTGAAGTCCCCCATCACCACCAAATCTTGGGCTTTGGATGATTTTGTTAGTTGTTTAAAAAAAAGCCTCATCCACCTCTTCCACCTGGTTAGGTGGCCTGTAGTAGACTCCTAGCATGACATCACCCTTGTTTTTTACCCCTTTTAGCCTAACCCAGAGACTCTCAACACTTCCGTCTCCTATGTCCATCTCTACCTCAGTCCAAGTGTGTACATTTTTAATATATAAGGCAACACCTCCTCCCTTTTTCCCCTGTCTATCCTTCCTGAGCAAGCTGTATCCATCCACACCAACATTCCAATCATGTGTATTATCCCACCAAGTTTCAGTGATGCCAACAATGTCATAGTTGTATTTATTTAATAGCACTTCCAGTTCTTCCTGCTTATTACCCATACTTCTCGCATTTGTATATAGGCATCTAAGATACTGGTTTGATCTTTCCTCCCGGTTTTGTCCTGACCCTCCTTTCTCTCTGCCAATATAGCCCACACTTCCTCTCGTCTCCGACCCATCTCCCAGGTCTCCATGTTCCCCACTTACCTGCGGGCTTTGCTCACCTGTCCCCGTCGAACCTAGTTTAAAGCCCTCCTCACTAGGTTAGCCAGTCTGTGTCCAAATAGGGTCTTTCCCCTCCTCGAAAGGTGAACACCATCTCTGCCTAGCAGTCCTTCCTCAAATAGCATCCCGTGGTCTAGGAAGCCAAAGCCCTCCTGGCGACACCATCTTCGCAGCCAGGCATTCACCTCCATGATGCATCTGTCTCTGCCTGGGCCCCTACCTTTGACAGGAAGAATCGAAGAGAATACCACCTGCGCTCCAAACTCCTTCACCCGTACTCCCAGAGCCCTGTAGTCACTCTTGATCCGCTCAGTGTCACACCGCGCAGTATCATTTGTGCCCACATGGATGAGTAGCATGGGGTAGTAGTCAGAGGGCTGGATAATCTTCGACAATGCCTCCGTAACGTCTTGGATACGGGCTCCCGGCAGGCAGCATACCTCCCGAGATGAAATGTCAGGGCGACAGATGGGCGCCTCCGTCCCCCTCAGCAGAGAGTCTCCGACCACCACTACCCTACGTTTCCTATTCGCAGTGGTGGCAGCAGACCTCCCAGCCTTAGGGGTACGAGGCTTCTCCTCCTTTACTGTAGGGGGTGATGCCTTCTTTCCTGTATCAAGAAGAGCATAACGGTTACCTATTACCACAGCGGGAGGGTTCGGAGCAGGGGTGGAGCACTGCCTGCTGCCAGAAGTAACCAGCTGCCAGTGTCCACCCTGAGCCATCTCCTCCTCCACCAGTGGTGTATCAGCAGTCCTGTGTCCTGGGACAGCTACCTCAGCTGTCTCCACATGGACACTGTCCAGGAATTGCTCGTGGATTCGGATGCTTCTCAACTTAGCCACCTCCTCCTGTAGCTCTCCCACTTGCTGCCTGAGAGATTCCACCAGCAGGCACCTTTCACATTGGATGGTCCCCCCAGCCTGGATATCAGTAAGTGGAAATTGCAAGTTACAGTCTCTGCAAAACCACACCAGGATCTGGGTAGAAGCATCCATGCTCAGGCGCTCTGTCTGGCTACAGGCGCAGGTGGAGGAGACAGACGCAGTGCTGGCACAGGTGTTGTGGGTCTTCCTAACCATCGTAAGCCTCCCTCTGTCAAACTCCCGTCTGCAGCCCCCTGTCCGCTGAAGGGGTTGTTTAAGCAAGAAGTTTAAAGTTTTAAGGGGAATAAAGGGAAAACAGATAGAACCGGCAAGGGACCCTCGCCCCTTCCCACTGCCCTTCCCAACTCCCTTGCGAAACTCCCTGTTAGCAGCCCCTGTTCGCAAAAGCTCCCTGGTCGCTTGTGCGCTGCTTTATAAAGCCCTGGCCTGTATGAATGCCCCGCCCACTGATTAAGGCTCAGCCAATTACCAGAGGCTTCTAGGTTTCAAACCTTCCTTTGAAGCTCACAGCTTCCAACTGTCAGCCACAGCACACGGTCCTTCAAACAACCAAACAAACAAACAGACTGACAAACACAAGCTCAGCACACAGCAAGTAACCCCCAAACACAAACAAACACACACTGCAGACAGTCACTTACCCCAAAAGGGTGCTGTATTGCTCCTCCTTCACCTGGAGAACTCCCTTGCGAAACTCCCTGTTAGCAGCCCCTGTTCGCAAAAGCCTAAGATAGTGGTGACTTCCTATTTATTAGCTATTCATTGTTTTATTATGTGCAAGAATAAAAGTAAATGTCAGTATTAACCTTTTTAATTAAATGCAGCAATTAGAGAACATTACCTTGCAATTCACTTTTAATACCCGTCTGCAAAATGGTGACTTTGCATCAGATGCATGACAAGGTCATGCAGATAAATTCACCTAGAAGCAGAAGGAAAAAAAGGTTATTGCTCCCATGAGGAAGTGTCTCATTTACAGAATTACAGGGCTCCCTAGCAGAGATAAAAATAATTGGGCTTTGTTGTTTTTAAAGCGAGATTGTAAATGCCTCACTGAAACATCTTGAAAGATGTCACCATGCCTCAGTGGGTCACAGCTGAGAATACAAAATTCAGGACAGACTGCTGAGAAATAGAGCAGACTCACCCCAAACTGGTGGTTATTCTATCGTTAGATTATACCAAGCCAGTAACAAAAGTGAACTTATGTCTCACCACACTGGTTAACAAAGAAGCCAAAAATGCAGTCTTCTTAGGCATTCCAGCCCTTGGCTCACCACACAGACACTGAACTTTATGATGAGTGGTTACTGAAGACCAATTTAATTAAATATAGGGTCCTTCTAATCCCAAGGGACCAGCCACTTAGCCAGGTCAATATATAACTCAGATCTTATCCAATAATTATGTTGATGCCAATCCTTACTAACTAAAAGCTAAAGGTTTAAAAGAAAAGAAGAGAGTTATAAATGATTAATAGATCATATAGATACAAGTGATTTTTCAGTGTTCATAGATCAGGATCATAGCAATGATGGAATAAACTGCTAGCTTGCAAAACTCTCTCCCTGGAATTACCCAAACAGGTTGGAGGTCATCAGTCCTTGTTTAGAACTTCCTTGTTAGAAATCCAGTCTAGAGAAAATGAAGACAAAAATGGATATATGTCAGGGTCCTTATATATCCTCTGCCATGTGCATGGAATTTTGCTGTCCCAACTAAACTCACAGCCCAGGTGCATGGAAAATTACTGGGCCAAGATGGAGTCCAGGGTCATATGAGCGTATCACATGCCATTACATGCTTTGATGACTCACAGGAGGTGGCTATTGGCCCCTCGGAAACTGATGCATCAGCAGGAAGACCATAGATTCATAGATTCTAGGACTGGAAGGGACCTCGAGAGGTCATCGAGTCCAGTCCCCTGCCCGCATGGCAGGACCATGCCCGCATACAGCTATCTGGGCGGGATGAGTTTCTTCTTAGGCCCACTGGGAGAGTGAAGTGTCCTTGATGGACCATCACTACATAGCTGTCTGGTACCAATGTAAATCCTGTCTGGTAGGTGTTACCCAGGACTAACACACATGTATCAGATACAACTCCATGACCAATATTCATAACTTCAGATACAAAGATGATACCTGGATTGACACTTACATGACATACTTTGTATAAGATTTGTTGCAATTTGTTGCAATTATATAACAGTGGTAATATCAATGATGTAAATGGTCATATTCAATCATACAGCATCAAGAAGAGTCTTTCAGAATTACAGAAAGTGCCAGTTACGGAGTAAAAAGGAAATGCCATCCAATTCCGGGCGGGGAGGGGAAATCTTAGGGACAATTTCTCATTTACATTCTGCCTACCTACAGACAGCTGCAGTTTCCAAATGGTATTTTTCTTCACTTCATTTATTATATGGTTATGGAGAACTGCTATGCCCAGCTGAACAACTGATCAGTTTTTCTACCATCAAAGTACAGTCACCACTGGGAAAAATTATTCCTCTGGTTATCAGCTGAAGTCTGTAAAATGCTCTGAGATCCTTCATGATTAAAGGTGCTCTATAACTGACATATAAATACAAAAAAGCACTTTCTTTAGCACAGGAAACTATCTTTGGGTTTTGTGCAGTATTGTGCACACTGTCAACATGTAATAAATAATAATAAAAGAACATTCTCTTTCCCAGTTGCAGGGAAGAAGAATCCTGCCCGTACAACAGGGTCACTACACAGAACACGGGGTGCTATTAAAAAGGTGAACTACAAAGGGATAAGGGTTCCATAAACTTTTATGCTGCTTTGTGACATATGAAGAAGACCTGAAAGGATTTTTTTTCACTTTCTTAAAGACTAAAAATTCAAGTTTTGTCTACCTGGAAACTCTGTTTATGACTACTGAAGGGATTATGAAATTACAAGGAAAAAAATTGAAAACTGAGCAACTGAGGGTGAAAGATTTTTCCTCCAGCAGTTTAAGATGTTTTAACCCCTATTTAACACCAAGGTTTAACAGGGAAAGACCATCTGTAAAGATCCCACCATCCCAGCCCCCAAGGAAGAGACGCAAAGGCTCATACAGCATTTTTATACCGCTTTATACAGCATTTTTCATCCACAAGATCTCAAAGTGTTTAACAAAAGGTGCCTAAGCATCAGCTCCACTTTTCAGCAGGGAAGATTTAAGCACAGAGAATTTAATAATTTGTCCCAAATCACACAGCTCTAACAAGTGCAGAGCCAGGAAAAGAAGCAGCCAGCCCGCCTGCGTGCCAGCCTGGTACCTTAGCCAGTAGGCCACCGCCTGTCCACAGTGGCTATGTACTCAGTCTGGCTCAGTCATGTCTCCACTGCCACTACCTGTGCTGCTATATGGTCTAGAAGATATCTAAACAATTACCCCAAAAATGATAGATCAGTGTTAAGACACTTTCAGTAGACTTCGTATTAAAAATCTTAGTATGAAGATTTTTAAAGGGAATGTTGCATAATAGCTTTCTTTGTTTTGAGACTAGTTAAAAGGTAACTGAAGGCTTGCAGGTCAGTAAAATGGGAGCTTTACACAGTGCGGCACGGGAAACCTCAAGGGTTCTCCAGCAAACCCAGGGGAGCCAGACTTGATATTTCTAGGGGTAAAACAGAAGAGGAAAGAATCTCCCTCCCCACACACCAATCTCATAAGCCCTTTCCAGCCTTTATTATACACGGCAGGGGCTGGAGGCGGGGGCGTGAGAGCAGCACACAAGCCCATTTGTCCCCCTTTTGACAGGTCACCAGAACACAGCACCAGGCAGCAGTGACCGACGGGCTTTCACCACAGACATCAGCCCCTTCACTGCTGCCCATTTACTCCAGAGCAGGAGCGGGCGGTGCGGTCAGGTGCAGTTCAGGAGTCTCGTCTCCTCCCCGCACCTGGAACCCCCCGGCCAGCCCGCCCGCCCGTCCCCTGTTGTGGCGGGAGCTCCGACGGGCGCGCTCCCCCCGGCGCCCGGCAGGGGTCGCTGCCGCAGGAGGCCCGTAGGCCGGCCGGGGCGGGGGAGACGGAGCCGCGCCAGGCCCAGAGACGCCGCCGGAGCCGGGCCATGGAGGAGTTTCACCCCCACAACGACGAGGTGGGGCGCTGCGGGGGGAGGGGGCGCTGCGGCTCGGGCCCGCGCCCAGCACCGGGGCCGTCGCCTGGCGCGAGGGAAGCGGGGCGGGCTTTGAGCGAGCGGCCTCGGGGGCTGGGCCCCGGGGAATCAAACCGCCGGCAGGACGGAGCCCCGGGGAAGGGGAGTCGGGCCCCAGCTCGCTGGAGTGTCCGTGTCCCGCAGCGCGGAGCCCGCGCGGCCCGGGGGTGGCACCGAGTTGTGTATCCCGCGGGGTCCGCCGCCTTGCGGGGTGTCTGGGTCAGGCAGGTGCTGGCCCCGTGTGACAGCGGCTGGGTGCAGGGCGCTGCCGCGGGGCCCTGGTCCAGAAGGCCGCCTTTCCTCCTGGGCTGCGGCTGGGAAGAGAGTCACACTAGGACAACGCTGGGTGGGGTCTGGCAGAGGTGGGAGTTGCAGGTAGCCAGATCTGTACCAGCAGCTGCTTCTTGCAACGCCCTTGATAGGGAGTAGGCAGTGGTTTGAAGCAGAGGTAGATACAACTATTGCACCAGAAGACATAAGCTCAATTGCTGGGGCGAAGATCTGAAAAAATCATCTGCAAGAAGGCTTCAGCATCTCTGTGGAGAAGGGGGGCGGGGCAAACAAGTGTAGAAGTTTCAGTTTATTAAGTTCACTCTGAATAAATCTACACCTGTTTTTTTCCTCCCTGTCTTCCTGTGTAAAAAGAGAATATATTCTTAGGACAATTCTTGAGCTTTGAAAGAGTGCAGAGAAGTTGAGAATGGCAAAATGGCTTTAGAGGGAGTGATTTGATTTAGGGCTAGTTCCTGGAACTGGATCTGCTTGCACAGCTTTCTGCACCATGCGCAAAGCCCCATTGATATCAGTATCAGGGGTCCACCTGCACAACACCAGTCACAGGATGTGGCCTTTCAAGGATGAAGGGACAATCTTCCTAGAGCACAGTGTTCATATTTCAAAAATAAGCTTTGAAAATCCTGCTGGTTTAGTTATCTATTGATATTTGTGACAGGTTGGTAACCCCAAAGCATAAATCAGTTTTTTGGACAAGAAATGCAAAAAACTTCTGGGCCCACTCTAAGAACAGTAAAGTGAATGACAAGATCTTATTTATTTCATTTTGCCATGCTGTTCCCAGCCAGAGTAGAAGAATTAAACTAACCAGATTTAATCTATTCAACCCTGCCTCTCCACTTCTAGGAACCACTAGAGCATAGCGAAAATGATAAGAATTAGTACTTTCTCATTGGGTAGGCTGCTTATGCATCTTTGTCTGTAAAGACAGCACCCAACACCAAAGTGTGGGGGAGTGGAAGGAGAAAGTAACATGTGGAATAAACTAATGGAGGGAAGGCAACAGAGAAAAAAAAAAACCAAAAGATGAGAAGGGAAAACCAGCAGACAAATGCAGAGAAGACTCGTGATTTAAATAAAAAAATATTCTGAATAAGTGACTTGGCATTCTAGTGCCTATAAAACTCAGCAGTTGTCGTACTAGGGTTGCAATCCCCTGTTTTATCGTTTGTTAAAATAAGTAAAAAATAGTCAATAGGAATCCTGATTTCAGTGGGAGTGGGATCCCTATGAAGGGAGTTCAATTCAGTCTTTTGTTCTGGTGGATATTCATGATCATGTGTAAGGCATGCCTAGAGACATGGTATAAGAATCTTTTAGGATAGGGAAAAATGAGTTTGGACCCTGGTATCCAGGCCTCAGCTTTTAAAATCCCTCTTTGAGGGGGTTGTAACACGGCAATTAATGCCAGATGGCAGCTGTGCTGTGTTGAAGAATGTGGAGGTATTTTTAAAACTACTTTTGATCTAGTTTGGGTTTAAAATACAATTTAACTGGGTCTGGTGCTGGATCTATGCCTTTTCTAGTTGGGGTAAGGAAAACTATATCCCAAGTCTTTCTTTTCTCCCCAGAATAATGTGAAATGCTATAAGTAACTGATTATACTTCTAACTTTTTAAATTATAGATGACCTTCAATGCTGAGGAAGCCCACAACATCGTTAAGGAGGTAGGCTATGTTTAACAATTTTAGTGACTTGAATGAAATACAATATTTAGAAAAAGCTGCATATCACTTTCAGTGATACTTTCATGCTTTTAGCATACATGCATATTTATTTATTAAATATAATTTTGGAATTAGTTTTGAAGACAGATTTTTAATGCCTTTTTATACAAGGAAAAGTAGGCTATGATGAATAGTCTGTAATAGAATTTGTTAAATGCAACACCATGGCAACCAGCAACTGAATAGTGCAGAGCCTATTGCTTACAGGTCCTGTGGAGTTCTCTAGGAGACAGTGTATTAAAATGAGATTCCCTGAAGGACTTTGCAGACTCTGCAAGTCCCTCTCTGCATGTCCTGTCAAACTTCACATTTCAAAAACTGTTCCAGTATGCACAGCAAGCACAAAAACAATGTCAGATAAACAGTTCAGCTCTTTACACAACTAGCCTTTCAAGGTAAGGACAAATACTGTACACTTTTTTTGCGCATCTGATACAGGGAATTAAGCCAAGTATCCATGCCCCATTTCAAAAGTTAAGTAAAGCTACCATACTGTTGTCTAGCATTAATACAGCTCTAGAAAGACTAGAAACCTTGAGAAGATTTCTTTTGAAAAAACATTCATAAAATGGTATAAAGTAATAAATGGAAGCCAACAGCCCTGTCTTACTTCCTGTACGTGTCACAATGTATAAAGGTTGATTAAAACTAGCCTAGGGGTTTGATCCTGCCCGTCCTCAGGGCATAGGCCTCCTAAATAACTTAATTGGGAGTTGAGTGCATGGGGTTTACATCACTGAATCTAAAAAGTGTATACAGTCTCATTTAATTATGTAGACTTTTTCAGATGTTAATTTCTTTACAATTTAAGATTGGCCAATATTATATTTAGTCTCAGCATGTGAATTCACATGACTGGATTCCTTTATGATAGAGGCTGCAATTTAATAAGAATTAGAAGGGATTACATTTACAGGGAATGCTTTCAGTTTTTCACCATTTTAAGTTTACACCGTTGGGTTAAACCAACGTGTATTGTTTCCATTAGATATGTTCCTTTACTGAAAGGTGTGGTTTTTTTTTTTTTTTTAATGTTCCAGTAGCACTTAGGAACCCATACTGTACTTCAAAACACAAGCAGTGACACCTTAGCATTCCAGGCAGCCACAGGTTATCAATAAGAGTAATGGGAAATTTTAGTTCCTTCACTGTAAATAAACTCAAATGTTCATTTGACAGAATTGTTAGAACGTATTCAATGGCAAAAAATCCCATTAAGGTTGCTGAGTGGTACAGTATGTGATCCTGTTGCAGAATGTTGAGTTGAGCAAAACTCCAACTCTATTTCCCAGTTTTCAGAAGAGTTAAAGTTGCCCACCTAAGCATTAGAATGGATAACAGACTTACCTTTACTCCGCCAACCCCACAGTTGCTGAAATACACATTCTTCGCCTGCTTTCACAACTCATTCATTCTCACCCACAAAGCTCCATCTAACTCTATTGAAGGACAAAGAAAAAAATGATTGCACACACCACCTTCCCTATGTTCCCCTGGAGCTGGTAGTAGCCAATGGGAGTTATTTGTAAACACTCCAGGTGCAATCAGTATGTTATGTGTATCTGTGCTAATTGGTGAAGACACTCGTTGGGCCTGTTTGGTAAAGGTGTATTCGGGATATGAGGATGTCTGGATTATTTTCAAGTGCGTAGTAAAGCTTTGATTGTGATTTGAGGAGATCTTTGTTTTGCACCCTTTGTGCATGAGCAAAGGGAAGAGGTGCATGTATACCTGCAGGATACTGTATGCGTTATTTCAGTGCAGAATTGCACGTTATATACTTTGCAGGGCAAAGGGGTTTTATTACAAAGGGCAATTGACTAAGTGTATGAGTGAAGGCCAGGATCTGGAACCTCCTGAATCTTACACTGGCCTTTGGCACTATTATTAGGGATGTAAAAGTTTAACCAGTTAACTGATAAGCATCAGTCTTATTGGTTTCAGTTAATGATTAAACTCCGTTCCCCCATCCAGGACTCCAGCCGGCCCCAAGTAAAACATGGGGCTGCTGTAGCACCCCTGGCACCCCTAGTTCCCCGGTTAGACATTTAACAGTGTAACCAATAACATTTTAATCAGTTACACGGTCACCTTTTTTAACTGCTATTTACATCTCTAGTGAGTATGTGGTATGTGCATACTGAGGCATTGCTTGAAGAGGGTAGATGGAATGTGATATTGGGCAACCTTTGTCCCCCTCCCCCACTTTGTCCTTCCATAACGTTAGCTGGATTCCTGGGGATTGTAAAAGCTTGTACATTTCAACAATTCTTAGGGTGGCAGAGTAAAAGTTACGTGTGTTAATGAGGCATATTGGGGCATTTCTGAAAGAGGGCACAGTTAAGGTTGCATGGGCAACCTTAATTGCATTTCCTAGTTTTCAGAAGTTTGAGTTTTGCTCCACTGAGTGTTCTGCAAGGGGACGATCTACCACCAAGTAAACTATACTAATAGAAAGTTATAGTTTTTTACTATTGAATTTCCTAGTTTTTTGAACAGGAAAGAGATGTTGGTGGTAGGGTTAGTAGGCATTTAGGTAGTTGTACACATATCCCACAATTGCATACAAAACCAGCCAGCCCACCACTATCTTGCCATTCCCATCCCCCCATGCGCACATCCCAGCTGGACCCCACTAGCTCTGCTTTGGCACACCTCCCCAGCCATATCCCTGACTCATTCAGTACCTTTCCCCCCCTATAACCGAGCCCACTACTGTACCTAGTCTCCCCTACTTGTGGTGGTGGGAACACATCTCCCTGAAGTCTTCACACCCTGGTATACAAAAGTTTCTATTGCTGTTACTTCCCCCCACCCCCTCATAACCCAACTCATATTTAGTGCCTGGAGTTAAAAATAAACTGTGTTACAGTGGAATAGTGTTTCTGTTCAGGTTTCAGAATGGTTAGAGGGTGGAGTTTGTGGCAGGGCCAGTAAGAGAAATGTTTTTCTGTTCCAAAATACAGAGTTTTATATTTGAGAGAAAGCTCCTCTGACCCCGTCCAATAAAAGTACTCAATCTTCCAAAACAGTGATGTTTCAGAGCTCGTAATATTTCTGTGCAATAAAGTAGACTTTGTCAGCCATGACCCATTCAATTTCCTGATTAATCTTCTTCCAACACTTATTAATAGCTTTCATCTTATTGCTGTAGCAGTTATGTAGACACTCAGCCAAATCAGAAAACTATCACAGTCCCCGGACACAAATCTCTGATGTGGTCCAAATCTGCTCTCATACATTGTATGAGGTGAACACCAGGAATAAGAGCCAGATCATTTCCATTCAAGTGAATTGCCAGTGTGCCAGGTAGATCACAACTTCAAATCACTGGTTACACACCAGAAAGTGGGCAAAACACAATGCCAATGCAGACCACATGTCTCAACCCAAATCACTTGTCATGGTGTACACCTTGCTGTCTGGGAAACTTCTGCAACCTTGTGATCCAGGAATTGCCTAGAATCTGCGTGTTGACAACTCTGGCAACACACAGTCCTTTTCTCTCAGCAGTCAAGGTACCTGCACTGCTAGTTCCAAACCTCCATGCCGTGTCTTTGGAAACCACATTAACCTGCTCCCAAGATCAGGAAGTTACCTCACTCCTTTTCTGCCTCCTCACAACTGCAACCCCTCTTCCTGTCCCATCATTTCCTCCCTTCCCCACCCCAAAGTTCTGTCTCCCCCCCTTCTGATATAACAAAACTTTGGTTAGATTGCCTGCTGACCTAACAGCAAGCACAGTAAAACCTCCCCATAAATAAAAACACATAAGACATCTTTTAGCTAGCAACATGAGTTATTAAATATTTATTGTGCAGGTGTACAAAGAAAAGGTCAGGTTCAAAGGAATGTGCGGACATAAATGCCCCAGGCAAGCATAAAGTAACTGCATAGAAACCCTCTCACTTTTTTCCCCTTTATGGGTGCATGTTAGCTGTAATCCTTTCAGGCAACACATCTGTGCAAGGGTAGTGAACATGATTTTAAATATCCTCTCTCAGTTTGGGTTCCCATGCACCCTCTCACTTAGAGGGTGCCATGCACTACATTGATTAAACAGATTGAAACTATTTTTATCCACATCACATCCATAGTTTGGTCCCTAGCTCTGTTAAAAAAAAGCTAGAAACAAAAACGGCTCCCCCCCCTCAAATTACTTCAAATTAGGGTCACTAACCCTACCCTGTGCCCTCCTGAGGCATACCTGCTTTCAAAAGAATCTGATTCAGCATGTAGATTTTAAGAAAGCTTGACTTTTAAACAGAAGTCATGTTGCAGTCTTAACTATTTAAAAGGTATTTTCTGCAATACATTTCTACTGACAGCCTCACTTTGCCACATCAGTTGTACCTTTGAGCTAGACAGAATATATAGTAAATATCCCAGCATCTATGGATGCTGAATTATATTTCATTTCCCATTTCAGCAACTGGTATGCAGTGAGGTAAATTGATTTCAAATGATTAGTCTAAGATACTCAGTTGCCCTGCAAGTGTTCTGGGATTGTTTATTAAATATTTGGAGTTACTCTATTAAACATGGTTTGTTTTGAGACATTTCATATTGATGTATTACTAGTGCAATTGATTTTTCTCTATTTGTAGTGCATAGAAGGGATTTTGGGCAAGGTAGATTACAATCACAACAAAGTCAATCAGTGGACTGCAACTATAGTGGAGCAATCTTTAACACATCTGGTAAAACTAGGAAAAACATACAAATACATTGGTAAGTACCAGTATCCATACTTTGCCTTATACAATTCAGATGAGTAATTGCTGGGAAGAATTCGTTTTCAAGCTAGGAGGTACTTTGAAGTTTAAAAACATACCCTCTTAGTTTTCTCCTGTACTGTAATCTCTCCCGTCTCACCCATCCGTCACACACACACACACACACCCCGCACCCCCCCCAACAGGTGATTAGGAACTGAGAAAATGTCCGTATTATTTGTGTGTATGCTTAATCACTTAGACATTTATATGCAACAAAACTGTGGCAGTTTTTTCATTTTTACTTGATGCTAAATGCTGATAGTGTGCCTAGCCCTGTACAAGACATACCATAGGGACAGTCCCTTCCCAAAGGAGCTAAATCTGACAATTGTCTTTCCTGTTTCTCTTAAAAAAAAAAAAAAAAATCAACGAAGGGAAAGTAAAGAAAACCCAAAGTTATTACATCTGCCAAAAATTCTCATAATTTCAGAAGGTAGGTTGTATTAATCTAAATCCTTACCAAAAGGATTTTAGAAATATTTGTACTTGAGGTTTAGCGTACAGTACACACCCTTATAGAGGATGTTCAATTGATTTCATCCTAAAGGGTAGATTGTATCCACTGTTTTCAGGGATGCACATGTAAAGGAGAAGTTAAAAGGGAAAAAGTACACACTATGCCCACTTTGGCCCGTATGTGTAGGCTGGACACAGTGGCAGGGCAGGTCTTTCCTTTGGGGGGGGGGGGTGCAAGGACTCCTTCCAGCTCGAGCGGATGCTGGCACTTGCTTCTTCAAAGGCAGCTGGACCATGCTAGATGCTGCACCCACTTAAAAGATGGTGTAAGACTACATGCTGCTTCTGCTCAGAGGAGTTCCAAAAGCACCATCTGCGTCAGGCACAGTTCCTCCTGCAGCTCGCACTGGGACAGTGTGTCTCCACACCAACTTGGTGAATGGCTGTGCCTTCAAGTGCAAAATTAATTCTAAATATTTTAAAAGATAATTAGGGAATTTAGTCATACCAGTGAGCTTTCTGGGAAAGGGGTTATTTGCATACCACTAGGGTTATGTCTACACTGCGAGCTAGGGGTGTGATTCCCCTCCTTGTGTATACATACTCATGCTAACTCTCAGAGCAGTGTATAACAGCATAGCCACGGTAGCAGCAGCATGGCTGAGCCTGAAACCAGTGGCTATGTACTCAGTCTGGCTCAGTCATGTCTCCACTGCCACTACCTGTGCTAATACGTAGTCTAGAAGATATCTAAACAATTACCCCAAAAATGATAGATCAGTGTTAAGACACTTTCAGTAGACTTCATATTAAAAATCTTAGTATGAAGATTTTTAAAGGGAATGTTGCAGAATAGCTTTCTTTGTTTTGAGACTAGTTAAAAGGTAACTGAAGGCTTGCAGGTCAGTAAAATGGGAGCTTGTCTATGACAGTGTGATATAACAAATACATAAAGGGAAGAGGCTGCCAGTCTTGTTTTGTCACTAAATGAATTAGACTTGGCTGCGTTTTGAGGCTTCCAATTATATGTTTCATGATGGTAGTTTCACTCAGTCTGCAGATTAATCAGTCTTGTTTTATTAATGAAAACACTGATTTTATTACTCTGTCCTTCAGTAACCTGTGCAGTGATGCAGAAGTGTGGCGCTGGTCTCCACACAGCAAGCTCGTGCTTTTGGGATACCACAACTGATGGTAAGTTCCCTCATTCAGATTCAAGTTAAATAAAAGACGGTGAATGTGCTACCCGTTGCTCAGCTGTGCTACAAATAGTATTTTTAGCAGTTTGAAGGGTTGATTACAAAAAGCCACCAACTCCAGACCCGGAAGCCTTGTATGCATTTTCAACAGATGCACTCAGGATTGAATGAATAATAGATGGATGGAGAACACTGGGGTATGACAAAATTAGCAATACCAGTGGAGCTATCTTCAGTATGAAAGAAAGATTGTGCAAATTAGTCCCCATAGAAGATCTTCAATTGTAGGGACGCTGACTTAATTAGTAGTGTGTGCTCTAAATGTAAATTTGCAATTCTGAATGTTTGCCTACTTATTATAAGTGGACTGCCCTACTCTAAGAGAAGCTGGCACGAATAAAGAATTGGCTTTTTTTTTTAGCTAAAGCTTTTATTTCTTTCTTGCAGTCAGTTGCCATGTTCCTTTATTTTATTCACTTATGCATTATTTCCAAGTTCCCCCATTTCAGTTCACTGTGTGGTGTGGTAAGATTATTGGACTGCTTTCAAGCCTGCCAGGGCTCAGTTTCTTTAAGTACCGTAGAAAGGACTTAAAATGAGGCACCAGGATTCTGTTGTAATACAGGTCAAAAGACTGCATTTAAAACACAAGACTGAGTTGAATCATTAGTTAGAAAATAGGTTCCAATAAATAAGTACATTCAGGTCAGAGTTGTGTTGGGATACGTATATATTGTTGGCTTTAGAAATGTCAGAGCAGCAGCTTCTTTTGCTGATTTCCCATTATGTCCATGTAAATAAAACCACATATTCTTATCTATGTTCTTAATGTCATAAGTATAGTACGAGTCTATTCTTATTTTGCCATGGAAGTTTTTTTTACATACAAAAAAGCAAAAGAGCCAAAAAGTATATAAAAGGATTTGAAAATATTGATTCATTGGCTGAACGTGGAGGGAGGGGGAATTCCTTGTTGGCAGGGTGGCAAGGACTGACTTAAATCAATGTTTTTAAAAACTCATTCTGAACCAATCTTCTCTCCCTGTGACTGGGCCAGGTAGGCTTTGAGCTTAAGTAACTATCAAACGCTATATGTTGTGTGATAGGGAAGAACAAGAAATGATTTTCTGACCTCAGGAAAATTATTAGTTCACGAGGACAGGAGGAAGTCATTAATCAGAGCTTTTCACTCCATTCTTACACTCCATAGTAATTTACATTTCTCTAATCTTTAGCTGTAGAATCAAAAGTTGGAGAAAAAGCTATTTTTCTCCAGGTTTATAGAGAGAATTTAATTTGTTATTATATTGGGGTTTTTATCTTATTTAAAACTAAGTTTATTAGTAAATAGTATGTGTAAATTTGATGCAGTTTTGATGGTATTAGTATCTGTATTCCAAAGAGAAAAAGGTAAGAGTAAATTCATCTTTATGGAGAGGATTACAAATTCCTATTACATTTCCTCAGAGAAATGAGTATGAGGGTTTTTTTAATCCTAAATTTCTGGTCTTTTGCACTGAAATGTAATAGAATTTAACAGAGAAGGCATGGGGAACAAGCTTATTTTCTGATTTTTTTTTTTAATTATCTTTTAGGTACCTGCACAGTGAGATGGGAAAACCGGACTATGAACTGCATTGTCAATGTTTTTGCCATTGCTGTTGTCCTGTAGCTGACTGGAGTACAAATATTAAGTTACACCAAAGCCTTTAAGATCAGAAAGTATCAAAATCTCAAAGCATATTGCCATTATGTAATACTGTTTGTGCACTAAAGAAAAAGGTATGAACATGCTGTAAAGTCCATTACACAAAGTGTACATTCTGAACAAATTCTTTCAATTTAACTTGTGACAACTGGCTTTCCTTTAGCAAATTTTAGCAATTTAAATATTCCAGATTGATGATATGTTAAACTGGAGATGCCATGATATTAATAAAATGAGAATATGGATATTTGCATCAAAAGATTACATCTACAATGCAAGTGAAAGTGAGACTAGCATAGGTAAGCATACCCGTGCTTGCCTTAATCTAGGTAACGCGATAGTATAGATGTGACTGCACTGGCTAGCTGCCCAAATACAAACATGTGAGTGAGCCTGGGTATGTACTCAGGTTGCTAACCCATGCTGAACCTGTGCCACCATGTCTACACTATTGTTATCCATACTAGCTAGATTAAAAATAACACAGGCATGCCTAGCCACACAACAAGGACACCTTCACCTGCAGTGTAGACATAGGCAACTGACACTTTACTCACAGGGAGATGGAGTAATTTAATCAGCGGAAGGGAGATGAAAGGATACAAGCATTAAGAAACAGCGAGATTAAAATGCAGTTGGGAACAGACTAGGAATATATTACATTTACAGTATTCCTAGTATTGTATGATAAGTATCAGTGCCTCATATCTGATTAAACAAGGCTATTTCTAGATTATGCATTGATGCTGCATGAACACCACAGTTACCTGATCAAGCGTAAAAAGCCCAAACTGTTTCTCTGCTTGGGGGACAAAATCATGCCAAAGCATTTATTTCTTCAGTGGACTCTAGTCCTTTTAAAGGGTATGATCTTTCTTCAAATACCATTTGGAACGTTGTCATTGAATTAAGTGGAAACATGATTGGGTGCACTGTTCATTAGCACTCAGTGCATTTCTTAAGAAGAATTCACCAAATTATAAAACTAGTTTAATCTGACCTGGCCCGATTGGTTCAGTGACTAGAAGAATGTAGGAAAACTCATGATGTGAGCACTTTGCACATTCCTGATCCAGTTTAAGTAGGTGTCTTTCCTAACAAAGGACCCAATTCTACACCCGTTGACCTCAGTAGAATCATGTAGAGTTAAATAAATGAGTTTGTGTAGGTAGGAGATGCCCACATTTTTAAAAGGGCCTTATTCTCTCTAAGCACAAATATATGATACAGAACATATCCTTAAATTATATTTATAAAAGTATTGCCTATACTCCCAAGTCTAAAATTGTGTAATAACTATGAAGTAAAGTATAAAATAGTAAAAAATTAGTAACATAGCTAGGGCCCCCCATCTTGCAAACATTCACACATGTGCTCAGTTCACAGATATGAGCAATCCTATTACATGAGACATTCACAGGATTAGTAAAATTATTTGTGTATGTAAGCAATTGCAGGATTGGGGGTCTACATTTTAGTCAATGCCTAAATTATGTAAATTGTCAAGTATTTGTACTGATCATAAAAAGATCCAAGTTGTTACTGCCACTGAGTGGCAGCCATTTTAAGTTCTGCCATATCTCAAACAACGCTTAAAGATTTTTTCTTATTTACTATCTATTCTAAAGATATTCAGTAACTATCTAATAGTTGCTATAAATCTGCTTTGCATTTTAACATGGACTTTGAAAGCACTGCTTCAATATTATGCAATTCTGATTTATTTATTTTTAATTATTTTTCACAGTCACTCTGATTTGGTCGAATGGCAAATATGTCCTTAAAAAAAAAGTTACAACAACCCTGGTTCTTCAAACTGTATTTGAAATTGCTACAAGGCTCCAAAAGTTAGAACCTACATACATCTAGAATACACAATGCTAGTTCACAATCCATTGCTTGGCAGGCATAAATAAAATAGAATTCAGCTTTTATATGAGCACAAATAGAGTGAAGCTCAAGAATATTGCATTTGTCTAGGAGGCAGGTAGTGTGAAAACATTTGCATGGTGCACTGAATTTCAGATATATAATAAAGTAAATTAAGAAAGATTATTTGGTTTAAGGGCAAGATGTGGATGGTAAAAATATAGGGACAGCTGCTATCCCATTAATTTTATAAGCTTTAGCTGCCATGACTGGAATATTCCTAATAGCCATTAACTTTGTTAGTCTTTTTTGCTGTACTTGAAGATACGAAGTGATATCTTATTCAGTGTAACTAGGCTTGGTGGAGTTCCACTATGGAAAAGCTCACTAAACAATTTTAAAATATTGATTGTTGTAAAGTTACTTCATTTTGTTTCTACCAAAAATAAAGATGGTTTGCCTTGGCTGTATTTACCTTTGGTAGGATCAGCTCATCATAGATAGATAGCTTGCTACTACACTTCTTCCTCCATCTTGTATTGTTTTATAAGTGAAGCATGTTATTACAGGTGCACAGATATTTTGGAAACTATGGATCTGTCCTGGCAAGTGTCCCAAAATTCAGGGAGTAGTGCCGATTTCTAATATCCTTCCCCAACATTACATTCATCCTTACTGCCTTCCATACTATTTTACAAGATAACTTTTATTGGATCAACAAATTATCTTCATTACAGAAACTTCAGGACCAGAGCACTTTATTCTACATTGTTTAATTGTCTTCTAATGGGTCAACAATCTACTTTTGTACTTATTTTTCTTCTCAGTGACGGCTTTAGCTACAAACATTTATTAACGTTATAATTTATTCTAAAATACATGACTGCATTTCTTCAATATATAGTATTTTTAAATGTTAAATTCTGATTTTTTTAAATTCCCTTTATCTCCAACCATCTCAAAGCACTTCAGAAAACTTACCATCAGACATGCAGTCTTATTAATGGGATGAAGATGAGTTTGCAGTGGGACCTATTATAAATCCCCCAAAAAATATTATTTTAGAACCTAAGTAGTAACAAACTTAGCATGGTCAAAGATGGATAAGAACCTTGCAGATCCAGATTGAAAAAATACCAAAGCAGTTGGGGGGTGGAGCGGGGGAGTAAGGGGCAAAATGTCAATTTCTGTTACTTTTCTTCTACTAACCCTGCAGATTCCCTTCCAAGGGGTTGAACTGTACCATTTGGCCAGTGCAACCTGCTTTCCCCTTTTCATACTATGGAAACACCTGAGTTGGGATTCTCTGGCAGCTGAAATCATGTAGGAGCAAAGGTGCTAACTGTAGAGAATCAGGGTCTTTGCATAGATAGCCCTGGCCTTCACAGGTTGCATTAGACCCACCCCCTCCTTTTTCAGGAAGCAAACCAAGTCCCCAAATCCTGATCGAGTTAATGGGAAACTGAGTAGAATCTTACAGAAATTTCCAGTCTCCATGTGTGGGAGCAACCCATATAGATGGCAGTAAGGCCCAAAATTAGTCTGATGATTTCATACCACCACCAATTTCTGCAAACAGAATTTTGTCTTTCCAAAATAAAACCTTAAAAGTGGTTCTCTTATTATGCTTCTGTGATCAGAACAGGTGCAAAGCATGATACAATAGCCATCTCATGTTTGTATCAGCATCTTTCAGCAGAAGATCCTAAAGCACTTCACAAAATCAATGAAGCCTCATTTTTGTGTTAGTCTGTATAAGTGCTAGGTATAATGGCACTGCAGTTTTAAAGAGTAATTAAAAATTATCATTATATTATTAAATTTTCACAGAGTATGTTAAGAAACTAGAAACTACCATATAGAATAAAGAGACACGGTCAAATATTTCCTCACCCACTTTGTCCCTCTAATATCCTGGGACCAACATGGCTAGAACAAAACTGCAAACATACAGAATAAAAGCAGTACATCTCTCAAATCCAGTTTTTTCACAGTGGCCAATATCAGACACTTCTGAGCAAGGTGCAAAAAATCCTGTGATAGAAAATTCTGAAATAACCTGCCCACAGCAAGTTTTTATTACTCTTGATTGGTTAGGACTTGTCTGCACAGTGGAGTAATGCAAATTACAAGGGTGTGATTTGTAAAATGCACTGATGTATTGCACATTAGTTGGTCCATTTAGACCCTGCTGGTGCACGCTAAAAGTTCCCTAGTGCTCTTTACCGTAGTACTGTTTGAAATCATACTATATAAACTACACTAGAGAATCTTTAGCGTGCACCAGCAGGGTCTACAACAACCAATTAATGTGCATCATATTAATACACTTTAGAAATCACTCGTCTATAGTCTCCATTACAGTTCTGTGTAGACAAGCCCTTAGCTTTATGCCCTGAAGCACAAAGGTTTATATACACTGTAAAAAAAATCTTAAAGTAAGTTTTAAAGTAATTGGGTCATGATCATGTCTTGTCCTTTTTTGAATCCTACATGACTCTTAACCTTTATCTTATCTTAACCTATCTGTAGGTTTATACATAGTGTAAAAGGGCAACAAAACTGGGCTAAATGGACATTTAAAAAACAAGTCCCTATATCTCCTGTCCCAAAGAGTTTATGTGAGCTAACTATAAAAAAGTAATGTTAAAGGAGGGAGGAGGGAGAAGTAATAGGCTTAAACAGTTGCTGTGCTTAGTAATACACACACAGTTTTAATGTTTATTTCCTTATAATTACATTGAATGCCTCCTCTTGCGTTATAAATAACTAGGAGGAGGCATTACTAACCACAACCACCATATAAGCCTGTTACTGTAACCAGTTTCCCCCTATCCTGCCCACTCCCCTCTGTATCATCCCTGGTTTATATGCAGATCACATTAGTTCTGTGGGGCAGGGTCCAAGATTTCTGGTTTATTTTTAACTGCCAGAGAGGCCTAACCCAAACTGAAAGTTTAGACCAGGAGTGGCCAACCTGAGCCTGAGGAGGAGCCAGAATTTACCAATGTGCATTGCCAAAGACCCACAGTAACACGTCAGCTCCCCACCCACCAGCAGCACCACCGATCAGCACCTAACCCTCCATCCCTGCGCCTCCCGGCAGCTATGAGCAGCTCTTTTGTGGTGTGCAGGAGGCTTGGGGGGGGGCGGGGGGGGAAACTCAGGAGAAGGGGCAGTGGCCTTGGGGGAAGGAGTGGAGTGGGGCCGGGACCTGGGGCAGAGGCAGGGGTTGAGCAGTGAGCACCCTGTAGCACATTGGAAAGTTGGCGCCTGTAGCTCCAGCCCCAGAGTCGGCACCTATGCAAGGAGCCGCATATTAACCCCTGAAGAGCAGCATGTGGCTCCGGAGCCACATGTTGGCCACCCCTGGTTTAGGCAAAAAAACAAAAAACTTCAGCCATTTATTTACAGCTAGCATTTGACATTGCTTTGTGTAGTGAGTTTCACTTCCTACCATCACATACTGTCACAGTGAGCTCACACTCATGTTATATTCTGGGAGCAGAAGACACTTC